AAAAAGCCTGTGGTTTGCGCCGAGCTCGGGGCGGTTATTTTTACTCATCTCTGAGCAGGGAGGAACGCCCGGGTTTAACCCAAAAGTGCAGCCTGGATGGCAGCAGCCCTGCCGCGGCCCCCCCGCCGCCCCCGGGCCCGCCGAGGCCTTCGGGCGCAGGGGCTGAGCCCACTGCGCAAGGGGAAACTGAGGCACGGCACCGCGGGGCTGTTGGCTCACCGTGGAGTAAGTTGTAAGGCCGCCGGTGACGCAGCGCCGGGACACCCCGATGCAGGGCCGGGGCCTGATGTCACCGTGGCTTCGCTGGGGTGTCGCACCGTTTCACAGCACGCGCTGGGTTGCAGCCCGGTTCCCTCCTGCTGCCGGGTGGGGATGTGACCCGTCCGTGGCTCCTGCCAGCGCGTGGCATCTCCAGCATGTCGCAGCGCACGCGAATCTCCCTCCGTCACCCGTCCCCACGGGGAGAGCGAGGTGGCTCCTCTGCCGGATCCTCCTGCCCGCCGCAGCCGATTGCCAGCGCGTCCCCGTCCCCGGGGCTTTACTCTTTTAATGAGAGAAAGTTTCCCAGAGCTGCTGGCTCTGGAGACGGGGCTTTGCAGGTGATGAATTAACGTGGCAGCTGGCGGGTGAGCTGGAAGGAAGCGATGGGCTGTGCCCCCTCGGTCCACGCACATCCCTTGGGGCATCGGGTACCGGTTGGGAAGGGAGCGTGGGCGACCCGGCCGGGGAGCCGGATCCTGGCCCTTTTCCATGTCGCTGGCTGCCAGCTGGACACGTCACACGCGGGTGACGTGTGGGGGAGACCTGTGTAGCTTGGCAGGGGGATATTTGGGACGTAGATGCAGGCCCCGGGTTTGGTTTAGGATGTCAAACGTTCTCGCTCGCCCCCGAGCCAGGGGCACTGATGGTACCGCGGTGCTGAGAGCCGGCCGGTGCAGCAGCGGGGAAGGAAAGCGGGTTTGGGAAGCTTTGCATGGTGCAAGGGGACAGGGATTCCTGCGGACGCCGGGGAGAAGCATCCCGGCAGCGAGGGGGCTGAGAGCCCGGCATGCTGTGTGGCCGTGGGGGTGCCTGGAAGGAGCGGGGGGAATTAGTGTATTTAAGACCTTTGGATTTCCCTCCTCTTCACGAGAATTACAGCAGGATTGACGCCGGGAGAAGCATCCCGGCAGCGAGGGGGCTGAGAGCCCGGCATGCTGTGTGGCCGTGGGGGTGCCTGGAAGGAGCGGGGGGAATTAGTGTATTTAAGACCTTTGGATTTCCCTCCTCTTCACGAGAATTACAGCAGGATTGTCAGGAGCAGACCAGGTTTGTAAGCCACGCAGCCCTAACGCCACGGGGATGGGCTCAGGCCACCCGTCAGCAACTTCTGGCTGCCCCCGGCAAACCCTCAAGCAGCACCCAGCATCATTTCCCGTATCGATGCCCAGCTGCAGCCTGGGGCAGCCCAGCCCCGCGGGACCAGCATGGTTCTTCCCTTGGCTGCTGCCAGCAGCATTGCCAACACCGAGCAAAAAACCTGGTCTGGGCCCCGGAGGGGGTCCCTATGTCCATCCGTCTTTCCAAGGGCTTCCACACAGTCATTTTGGAACTGAAAAGCCTCCACCCATTGCCGCGCTTCGCCCGACGGCACCAGGCCGTGGCGGTGCTGGGTGCTGGTGGGACTTTCGGTCTGTGTCACCCCGAGCGGGGCTGGAGCCAGCGCGGGGCTGGGGCGGGGTGGCAGCCGGGTCCCCCTGAGCCCAGCCGAAGCCTGGATTTGGCTCTGGAGAGGCGTGGGGCAATGCTGTGGCTGGGCCCCGTGCTGCGGTGGGGGCAGATAGATGAATTATAACTGCCCCCAGGGGCTTTGCTGGTGCTGGGGTGATGCTGGTGAGATGGGGAAGTTGGTTAGTGGAGGCAAACCCCTTGTCCTCAATGCCCTGACATTCCTTCGCTGTCCCGGCGGTCCCCAAGCCCCCGCGGTACCCCGTCCCCTCCGGAACTCTCCTTTCCCCTGCTTCCCAGCAGGCTCCTCCTGCCTTCCCCACTCCCCTTCCCGAGCCGCCACTCTGGTTTATACTGGTTAGTTGTTTAAACAACCTATAAAAAGCAGAAGGGCCTGTCAACCCCCGGCAGAAACCCTGGTAAACTTTGACTTTTCCCTGCGCCGGGCTCGGGATGCTGCTTGCACCGCGAGGCCCCAGCGCTGCCGTTCCCCGGGGACCGGTGAGAGCCAGGGCCACGTCCCCAGCGGGGAGCAGGGCAGGGATGGATGTGGCCCACGGTGGTCCCAGCGCCATGTGTCCATCCATGGCAGGTGGTCCTTAAAGCCCCGTTTCAAGCCCGTTGCCCTCCCAGCCCTGGCGAGGCAGCGTCTGGCCTGGCCCCCACCCCGGCATTTCGCTGCTCCTGGCTCAGATTGTCCCCTCCCAGCCGAGCTCGCTCCCTCTCCCTGTAAAAGATGGGATGGAAACTCTTTCTCCCACTTTCATCAACGCTTTCCTCCAACAAAACGCTTTTTGGAAGCCGCCGAATGCCAACAGTGGGTACTTGCTGGCCACTCTCTTCCACCCCCATTTCTACCCAGCCACCTCCAGCTTTCAGATTTGCAACAAAATGCCCATAATTTGGCAAAAATGGCCTTTTTCCCCAGTTTCTACGTCGATGCCGCTTTGTCCCATGGGGATGGGAGAGGTGGATGAAATGGTGGGGAGCTCAGAGCCCCTGACCTGGGGTCCGCGCGCTCCCCTAGTAACCCATGTGCTTTGACTTTAGGATAAACTTGGTGGATTTAACATTTCTGGGATCATTCGGGGATGGAGAAGGATATAAAGGTGTCAAAGGCAGCGCTGGGACCCCCTGGTACCGTGCCGAGCATCCCGCACTGTGCCGGGGCTGCGGCACACAGAAAAACACGTCACTCTCAAGGGGTTCGCTTCATCTCAGCGCGCTAATGAGGAGCTGGGATAGGAAGTTTACATGCTCCGGCGTGATGCAAATGACCCCTAAAGATATAGAGGATCCGGGGAGTTAATTATAAACCTCGTTGCAGCTCAGGGGTCGGGGTGGCACCTCGCTGCGGGTGCTGGCAAAGGGACAGCAGGGCCGAGGGGCTGTGCCCGGGCGTGGAAGCGAGCCCGGTGCGTGCGAGCGAGCAGAGAGCTGGGCTAAAGATAAGCGCGCGTGGGAGGGAGAGGAGGCCGGCGGGATGCCAGGCAGCGCGGGAGCCTCTGCCCGGCGCAGGCAGGGGAAAGTGTCTCCTCTCTGAAAGGTTTTGAGGGCTCGAGAGCTTTGAGTTTTGCTGGCCTCCTTCGTAATGATGATGCTGAAGGATGCTTCGTCCCTGCAGCTGGACCACGTTGCGGGTCCCCATCACGGCCACGCTAACGAGGAGCCGTTTGTGTGAGGTGGGACCCGGTGGAGACTAATGCAATGAGAGGCTGTGGGGTTTCCCCAGGGCCGGCACCCCAACCCCCCTCCCTCCTGCTCGGGGGTCCCCGGCCATGAGCCCTCACTGGCCGCCGGCTCCTTACGGGAGCCAGGCTGCTCCCTCGATGCTGTCCCTGGCCACGGGGACAAGGCTGGAGGATGCCACCTCACTGGGCCGCAGGATGGAGGTGGCAACGCCGGGCAGAGCTGCTCCGTTGTGCCCGTCACCGCCAGCTGCGATAATCGCCTGCAGCCGTAATGCTGCTTATCGCCTTATCACCAGCACGGCAATTAAAATCCGGAGTGAAAGTCCCCCCTCCCCTCCCAGCCCTTAATACCTGCCCGAGGGGAACCGAGCGCCCGTGTCCTGCCGCACTGCGGTGGCCGAGGCACCAAATGCCATGGAGGCAGCGAGCCGAAACGCCTTGTACCCCGCTCCCGGCGAGCACCCCTTCCCTGCCGTACAGCTGGGCCAAACCCTGCGCCTGTACCGCAAGACCCCGGCACATGGCACGGTGCTGCTGGCAGCGGTGGCCCGGCCGGGGCTGCGCATGTTCCCACGGGTCCCACATGGCTGTGGTGGCCGAGCGGCCGGGGCGATGCCCCAGGAGGAGCGGAGCTGTAATGAGCTGCTCGGGGAGGTGGCTGATGAAACCGCACCGCGTGTTGCACGAGGCCTCAGACGGTTTCCCCGGTGGCGGAACAAGCCGCCCCGCGCCCAGCCCCCGGTGAGCGTGCCGTGAGTCCGGCCGCAGCGGGTCCCCGGCTCCCCCGGCCCAACAGCGCTGCGGCTGCTGCTTCCTCTTGCCTCCCACCCCTGCCTGCTATTGTGGGCTGTGTCCCCTGCAACATCGCCCTGTGGGTGCCGGTACCCCCCTGGGACATCCGCAGCATCGTGCCGTGGGTGCTGGTAACCCCTGGGACCCCCACAGCGTCGTCCTGTGGGTGCTGGTACACCCAGGACCCCCGCAGCATCACCTCGTGGGTGCCAGTACCCCTCCAGGACTCCCTCAGGATTGCCCCATGGGTGCCGGTACCCCTCTGGGACCCCCACAGCATCATCCCATGGGTCCCAGTACCCCTCCAGGACACCTGAAGCATCACCCTGTCGGTGCTGGTACCCCCGGGCCCTGCTCCGGGAGCACCCTGCCTGGATGGATGGGCAGACGCGGCTCCTCCGGGGCTCAGAGCCGTGCTGGTACCCTGGGGGTGGCTGCTGGCCCCCGGCCCCTGCCATGGAGCAGCACAGGGCGGGGGACGCAGCCCGGCGTTGGGCAGGCTGGGGCCGGGGAGGGCTTGCAGGATCAGTCCCAGTGTAGGGACCATCTCCCTCTGTGCTTCCCACACAGAAACTGGGGTGCTGGAGCCAGGCATCGGGGTCCTGTGGCAGCTGAGGAGCTGGGGGTGGTGGCCCAAGCCGAGGGGGCCCTTGGCAGCGTTTCATGTCCTTGCTGCAGATCGGGGGACACGTCCTTCTGTCCCCAGCACCCTGGAGCCTTTAAAAATCCCCCTGGGGTGAGGCTGTGCAGGGACGTGGGGACCCGCAGCCGGGTGAGCATCCCCTGACCCGAACGGGCCAAACCCAGCTGCAAGCCGGGGCCCCCCGGGGAACAGCTCCTGTTTCTGCACCCCAAATTAAAGATCATGGGATGGGGGCGGGCAGGCGAGGGCTGACCCCTCCGGGCGGCCCCGGCCTGATGCCATGCCGACTTTTCACCAGGGAATCGTTGGCTTTTTCCGGGGGGGCCGGGGTGGTCTGGGCACCCCCCGTACCTTGGTGTCGTGCGTGGGCCCCAGGACACAGGGTGGCAGTGGGGCCGTGGGAACGGCAGCACAATTTCCTTCCATAAATTAAAATTAGTTTTGATCAGCTAAATATAGCAGCTGAGCAAGATGGTAAATGGCAACGTGCTTGAGAGGGGGAAGCGGGATAAGCTGGGGCATTGGGGGAGTGAAGGGATGGCCGGTCCCCAGCCTGCACCCCCGGGGTGCATCCCTGCGATGGGGGGGCTGCTGGCCGGGCTCAGGGGGCTCCCGGGGTGCTTGCCATCCCCAGGGAGCCACAGCACAGAGCTCCCAGCCCTGCTGGCTTCCCAGCTTGGCTCTTGCCCTGCGGCCGTGGCTTGGGGACGGCGGGGACCGAGCTGGGCCAGGCCTGCACCCAAATTGGGGTAGAGAGGCTGGGTGCATGGGTCCCATTGGGAGCATCTTGATGCCACTCATGGCTCTGCACCAGGCTGCAGTGGCAGCGGGGCATCCCAGAGGGGTTTTGGGGTGACCAGTGCTGGGGGACAACAAGAAGAGCAAGAACTGGGTCCCTGCAGCAGCAGGGGGATGTCACGGGGGGGTGTCACAGCCCTGGGCTGCGATGGGTGCTGGCACCCTGCAACCCGGGTGGGATGAAGGGTCCCCAACCCCTCGCCCTTCCCACCGCCGGTTCACGTGGCCCGAAGAGGTGGGTGGTTTCGCTTTGCTGTCTCCTCATACAGCCACTTCCTGACCTGCGAATGGCGGAGGTCAAATTTAGTCTATTCGGTAAGAAAAAAAAAAAAAAAGAATTAAAAAAAACAAAACCTTGAACCTAAAAACAGCCCTTTTGTTTTACGGACCCTCCCCGCAGCCAGCCCGGCCTCCCTTATAACCGCCCTCCCCGTCCGACGGACCCGCCGGGGATAGCATCAGCGCACGGGGCTCCGAGCAGCCCCCGTGGTTCGGGCGGGCACTTGGGGATGCAAAGACTAATCCCGTGCTCCCGGCGAGGGACCTGGCATCGCGGCACGGCGGCTTTCTGGCCGGCACGCGCAGGTGCTCGGGTCCCCGGGGCCGGTGTGGGGTGGGGGCGATGGAGCCGGGGCGGTGGAGCCAGCTGAGCAGAGCTAAGGGGATTTTTCCCCCTTGCCCCAGCAGAATTTCCCAATTTTTTTTTCATTTTTTAGTTTGTCACCATCTTTGCTGAAAAAAAAATGCCGAAACTTCCTCCGAAAACCTTTTTTTTTTCAGCGAAACAAATTTTGGTGGCTGGAGGGGCGAGGAGGCGCATGCGGTGCTGGGGCGGATGCTCGCCCAGGCCGGCCCGGGGCTGCAAGGGCTCAGGGGCTTCTCGCTCTCTTCCAGCTCCCGCTCGAGTGTAGGAGGTGAAAATGGGCCGGAAAAAAATACAGATCAGCCGAATACTGGATCAACGGAACCGGCAGGTAGGAGCCGCTCGGGGACGAGGTGGGGACGAGGGGGACGGGGAGCCATGAGGCCACGAAGGGAGGCAAAGCTGCTCTGCTCCCACCTTCCCTGTGGGTGTCAGATCCTCCGGAGCCGGAGGGGGTTTGGGGACCCAGGAGGAGGGTTTGGGGCCGTATCCAGGGGTCCTGGGTGCAGCATCCCATCCCCTTCCCTGCTCGGCAGGTGACCTTCACCAAGCGGAAATTCGGGCTGATGAAGAAGGCGTACGAGCTGAGTGTCCTGTGCGACTGTGAGATCGCCCTCATCATCTTCAACAGCACCAACCGCCTCTTCCAGTACGCCAGCACCGACATGGACAAGGTGCTGCTCAAGTACACGGAGTACAGCGAGCCCCACGAGAGCCGCACCAACTCTGACATCCTCGAGGTAGCAGCGGGGGGCGGCCGGGGGGGCCGGGGCGGGCACGGGACCCCGCTCACCACCCCGCTCCCCGCAGACGCTGAAGCGCAAGGGGCTGGGGCTGGAGAGCCACGAGCTGGAGCTGGACGAGGGGCCGGATCCCGGGGAGAAGGCACGGAGGCTGAGCGAGGGCATGGACCTGTCGGTGGCACGGCCCAGGTTTTACGTGAGTCGCTGCCGTCCCATGGCACAGGGGGCGAGGGTGCCCGAGGGTCCCCATCCCCTCCCTATCCCTCACCTCCGCTTCACCCTGCAGACCCCGGCACCGCTGCCCGAGGCAGCCTCCGGCAGGCCCCCACCCCCCGCCGCCCGGGCCCACCGGGGCCGCAGCGGGCCCCCCGCAGGCCCAGGGCCGCCCGCCCACCTTCAAGCCAGCAGCACCAAAGCCACCGGGACGCTCGCCGGGGCCGCTGCCCCCAGGTAGGCTCGGACCCATCACCCGGGGATGGTGCGGGGAGCCGGCTGCAGGGGAGAAGGTCCCCGTGATGGGCACCCCATCCTCGCCAGCCCTGCGGGGATTTTCCCGGCCAGGCGCCGCATGCAAAGCTCCTCTTGCAGCATCTCCCGGGGACTTGCCGGGAGCAGGGCCAGGGCGGGTGCGTGGGCAGGTAGCGCTGCAGCAGCTGTGGAAACACCGTCCCCTGCCTCCCTCCAGCTGCTTCCTGCGCCCTGCCGGCACCCGGCACCTGGCTGGCCCCGGCACCCTGGGCACCCCATACCCACAGCTCCCTTCCATGCGGCACAGCTCGGAGCTAGGCATGAGGGGCTCATCCTGCCTGGTGGGATGGCACCAGCCCAGGGTGGTGACGGTGATACGGGTGCTTCTGAGGCCACACAGCAGAAAAGCGGCTGGAAAAAATGATGCTGGGGCTTGACCAGCGGAAAGCCCCTGGGTGGGTGGGAGGTGGCACAGGGACGGCTGGGCGACATTCCCAGTGCAGGATGCGGACGTGCAGCATCCCCATCGGCCTGGAAGGGGACAGCGTGGTGACCCCAGCCACGCTGGACGTCCCCACAGGAGGTCCTGGCCGCTCCGTAGGGAGATGGGACAAGGGTGCTCCCCGCGGCAGGGTCTGGCTGGGGAGGTTTGCAGCCTGCTGGCCCCGGGGCCAAATCCAGCCACCACCTTTGTGCGCTGTTTCCGCTCGCAGCGTGCAGCCACAGCGGGCCGGGGGCGGCCGCCGCAGCCCAGGTGCGCCGACGGCCTCGCGCAGGAAGTGGGTTCGCCGGAGCACGGCACCGTGCACGCACGCACGGCCGCTCGCGGTGACGAGGGCACCGGGGCCACCAGCCGCAGCCATGGGGATCCCCCAAGGACCGGAGCCCCCCGGACCCCGCATCCCTCAGGGCCACCCTGTGCATCCTTCTGTCCCTCTGTCTGTCCAGGTATTGGCTAACCCCCCCCCCCCCCCGGCCGCCCGACCCCCCCCCCCCCCCC